TTTACAGAAAATGTTACATTGTTGTGAGTTACATCGTTATCAGACGATAGATGTTTTATATCAGGATATGAGATTCTGGTCGTATCGCTCAGCCCTACATCAGCGTGTGAGCCAGCTGTGCGCTGCAGATGTTGCTCACATGCTGTTGAGTCACTTTGTTGTCGTCTCATTTCTGTCAGAGTTCGTCAGCACCGTTTGCCCTCTTCAAACGGACGTTGGAGAGAAGTCTTGTGACTAGTTCCCCTCGTCGTCAGCGCTCCTCTGTTAACAAAAAGACACTGACCACTGGGAGCGCTGCACACGCCCCCTCTTCCTTTACTGCAGCCGTCACAGGCGCAGCTCCTGCTCTGTGCTGCTTTCATTCCTGTTTCATTCCTGTTTCTCCATGCTGCCTCTTTGAATTAGTGTTTACTTCCCAATTCTCTCATCTTGTGCTTGCAAACATCATATCTCCTCTTGGGATGTTGCCAGATTCCTGACGTTCCATAGTCGGTGCACAGGGAAGCTGAGGAATGTTTCAGGCCGTGTACAGTAGGGTAATCACACAGCTACAGAAACAGGCAGTTCCTAATGTGAGCCACGTGTACACGAGCCCTCTGTTTAATAGCAGTGACCATCTCGCTGCACGTGTCTGCAACAGTTTCTCTACAGCTATAAACAAGCTCCAGTCTTTACACGTCCTTCACCTTTGACAGCCTCATAAAGCAGCGCTGAGCTGCTGCACAGATACAAGTCTGCACATGGAGACTTTCACTTCCTCTGATAGCTTCTTTGGACCAAGTAACATCAATGTGTGACGCATAGTCTGAGCATTAAATATGAACCAGTTTAGAAGCCGTATAAACACATCTGAAGGTCTGAGTGCTGCGAGTGACAGACGGGTTTACGATGGAGGTGGGACTGACCCCGAGCACCTCATTGTTTGCAGGGGTGAAGGACAGGCTGACAATGGGGTCAGACGGGTGTAACAGCCGAGCTGCAGTAGAGGAAGTGAAGCTGGGTTTAAAAGCTGCGAAAGAGAAAGTTTACAAGGTGGAGATGGAGAAGCTGGAAGTAGCAGAGGTGAAGATGCTGAGATCTACAGACTGAAGAGCTTAAGAGGGACGGCTCAGGTGGAGCATTTCAGAGACCCTATCAGAGGTGACGTGGTTTGGACGTGTGCAGGGAGGGATGGTGGATGGATACGGAGCTCCATCCTCCCCTTGTTGATGGGACAGTTAATGAGACAGGAAACAGGCGCGTGAGGCTCTTTGTTTTATAGCCTGTGAAATGTTTTGTGTGGTTCGATGTACGTGTCTGCACGTTTCCCTCAGTTATTGATTTCCATTTTATTTGAGCCTAAAATAGTTTTTGTTTTAGGACGATGTATCACTCTGCATCGTTTTCAGTGAGGCAGCATCAGCAACATGAGATTCATTTTGCATCATCTTCATAAAGCAGAGAGAACATCTACAGGCTGATCCGGTGGATTAAACTGGAGGTTCTGTGGGGAGCGTGGAGCTGCTGCATCTCCTCTCTGCAGTCGTTGGACTCATCAGGCAGCTTATTACAGAGTTTCTGAGAGAGCGAAGCTTTGAGTTGGAGCAGAATAAGAGGCTCAAACACGAGCGTTGATTAATGTGGACTCAACGTGGGCTTTGAGTGAGACAAGAAGGCTGCACAGGTAACAACGCCAGAGGACACAGCCTGATACAAGATACACAAGATACTGAGTCACGTCAGGGTTTATCAGAGGTCTATGTAATCCTTCATTACCCAAATGTAACTAATTACAGGGAGACCATCATTAGTCTGGATGAATGAGCTGCATCCTGCCACATGAAGCGGCGTCCCTCCACTTTGTGCTTTAAAGTCGGATCATCAGGTCATGAATGACCCGTCCAGCTCTTCCTGTCCCCGTGCTGACAGTATCATAATCCTGCCTTTCTTCAGTTATTGAGAGAGAAACATGTGCAGCTGTTAGTGCAGCACGCGGTTCAGTCTGTGCCCAGGATCAGCTGTGATCAGTGTTCGGCTTCATTTGTTTACACAAACAGACACTCGAGGTTGCAGAAGTGCTGCGTATGGACGCGCTCGCTAACGTGGACGCGCTCGCTAACGTGGACGCGCTCGCTAACAGCAGCGAGGTGCTGCAGTCGGTTCTGGAGCCTTTGAACCATGCGGATATTTGTCACATGGCAGCGTGGCCATAATAAGAGACTGTGCGCTGCATTTACTTTGTTAGACACACACTGATGTGTCTCAGTTTCAGGGTTCGTACGGGTGCTTGAAATCCTTGAAAATGCTTGAATTTTAATATTGTCTTTTTAAGGTTTGAAAAGTGCTTGAATTTCAGATGTGGCGCTTAAAAGTGCTTGAAAGTGTAGCTGCATTTCATTCACCACAAATATCTCACTGAATAGTGTTTTTAATAGATAAAGAAATAAAATGAGTAAAATGTAAAAGCAAAATGTCAATTTCGATATGTGACCCCGCCCCTCCCCATAACTGTCGGGATGAGTGTGCT